AATATATATATTTGATAGTCAGAAAGGCGGTAATGCAAGACGTGGATCAAAAGATTATATTGACTATCTGGGCGTTTTACTAGACATCTTTCCTGGAAATTCCGTATCAATACTATTGGCAATAAATTAATAAAACTGTTGGCCTGATTGCCAAACTGCGCCTTTTCATACCACGATGTATACTTTTAAATATTTATCAGTCGTTAATCTATTCCTTTATACCTTAATGACATAAGAGCGCCTGTCCGTAAAAATCAAACATATCGCGGCAAGGGTGGAAAATTCGATTTCTTTCATATTTTAATGTTACAAAGGCTAGGGTATAACTAAAATCACTGTATGGTTTTTTGGTGAAATATCCTTTTATTTCAGAGATAAATGCAAATAAGCAAAATCCGTTAAAATCGTCATTTGAGGCGCTCAATTATTACATGAGTTTAAAAGCCCCGCGTGCAAAAACCGATTACTCTACCGACTTTTAAACATCACAGCCTTCTTTTACAACTTCTCTTACGACATAGTAAACACCGACAAAAAAACTGAACCTGTTCGCACTGCGACAAAAAATAGAGTTTGGTCTTTGCAAAAATTTGGAAAATTTTGTAATTACCAAAACTTTAAAGATGCCTACAGCTTTTTGTCAGGCGACAAAATCCTCTGTTCCTTTTATTTTGACAGCTATCCTTGGTTGGGTCATCTTATTTCGCGAACGTTATCAATTAACGTTATTGGTTACACTAAAAACTCGCGTGTCTCATTTGCGAACAGGGTTTCAAAATTGAAAAAGAGGCAAGATAAGAATGCAGGCGCTAATCAAAAGGGATATGCTGCTAGCTGCTAGCTGCGAACTGTTGAACACGAATTCTTGTGAGCGTAATCAGTTCTTGGTTTGTACAAAAAGGTTATCAAAGTTTTCTGTACAGATGCTTCGAGACATGTACCTTATATTCGTTAAAACAGTGGTTGTTATAATCAAGAGTACCGAAGTCCCATTAAACACTTTACACAAATGTAAAGTGATTGCGTCCCGGGAGGGGAGAGGGGTACTCCCTTATATAGGCTATATAGGTGTGTTCGGCGCCAAAGAGTACGGTTTATTTAGCCGTTTTGGTCTAAAAAAAGGGTATCAATTTCGACCAGTTTGGTCTGGATATGTTTTTTTAGAAAAAGCTACTTCTTCATCACCAGGCGATTAGACCATTTCCCTTTGGGTTTTACGCCATCCGAGTACGTTCCGCAACAGTACAGTTTTGTACCCTACTTGATAAAAGGGTATAAACATTGCCTTTAACATTGGTCTGACCTAGGGAACTGATTATATGGCGGGTCTGAAATAGGGTATTGATTTAAGGGCCAGGTCTGAAATAGGGTATCAAATTTTTGATCAGGTCTGAAATAGGGTAGGGAAAATCACAGATTTTGGTCTGAAATAGGGTAAGGGTTTCAGCAGGCGTGCCGCACATCCCCACCCAATTTTTCTGGAAGTACCCCCCCCCCCTTTCCCCGACCGCCGGGGACTGCGTGAATAGCGCACGCACTGCAAAAGATTGAGACGTCACAGCTCATGCAAATCCGACTTTTGCATGGGTTGATTTAGCAACAGAACGCGACCGTCAGTTGACGACGGGAAAGCGCCCGGAAAGGACTACACGCGACTTTCGTTGCCAATTTGCCGCTCTGTTGTTTGATTTGCGCGCGCTGTCGTCAACTGACGTTCCCGTTCTGTTGCTAAATCAGCCTAGAGTTGTGTTTGCAAAAGGGTTTGTAGTAATGACGTCACGATCTTTCACGCTATTTACGCGCTGGCACTTATCTTCGAGATTAACCTCGTCATCAATAAGCAAATCGTCCCATTCTTCTTGTATTCCTACTATTTAAGAAAGTTATGAGGAGGAGAGAGGGCGCTTATTCGATATCATGGCCAACTGAGTGAGTGCTTATTCGGGGACGAGGCCCTTGATAGAGCGTGGGCCCTTATCGAGGAAATACGGTACACAGATATGTAACAGGTTGAATCACAAAGAGTTAAAATGAACGCACAGGACAGACCACCAAACGCGTTAAGATGCAATTAGCCAAAATAGAAATACCGTTTGTTGAAAGGAAAAGTTAATAAGCGCCTCCCTTATTAAGCGCTCTCCTTCCAGTATAAGCGGCTCCCCTTTTAGCCGAAATTTTAAATAAGCGCTGGAGCGCTAGTTCGAGGAAATACGGTATTTACATAGCTTGCAAAATATAACGAAGTTTCAAAGAGCTGTCTCGTAACACCACCACCACTATGATTCTAAGAGAAGGGTTGGGAAATGACCTTAATGCCAGAGGTCCCGAGACTGTGACTGCACGCTTACGTTAGAGTTTGCTCTACAGAATTGCAGCTGCAGCCTTGTACTAAATTCTTCAACAGTTCCAAGTACGGCTTCTTTCGGCAGGTTATGGCACTGATAACGGTCCTGATATCGTCTAATAAAATCGGCCAGTCCGGGAGCTGAAAACCAAAATTGTGGATACACAAAATGACCAGTATTTGGATTTTAACAGGGAAGAGCCGTGTCTAAGGGTATCACTATCTTAAGCTATAGATTGTCTTCATTCACGCTATACCGGAGAGCTTTTGTGCAGGCACAAAAAGAAAGCATACGATAGGGATTCTGTTCACGCAAAGAAGGATGATTTCGGCACGAAAAAGCCCCGGAAAAAGCAAAGCTGCGACGCGCCGATCTCTAAACAGGAGAGTCACATACGGGATTTGTGCTCATGCTTTACCGGATAGACTGGATAGCTTTTTGTGTCTGTACGAAAAGCTATCCAGTATAGTGTGAACTGAGCCGTAATTATTGCTTTTGTTCTCGTTGTGGCCGTTTGCTACTTCACCCTTCTCCACCCCTCTTAATTGGATTGCGTGACTTACAAACGGCTGCCTGTAATTCAAGATGTGAGCACCGGCATTTTTGTGTCATTCTGTTGTAGCAGTCAGATGTAATATCTGGTAATATTTTCAGATACTACATTCTAAGCTATGTTTAACGAATGACTGAGCCGTCGAAAAAGGTGCAGTCGTCATGAAAAGCCCCGAAAGTTGATCAAAGAATTGTATTCGTCCTGTGAACACGTTGACAGTTGGCGCAGTGTAAGATTACACGTTACAAGACGAAGCTCAAACGACTCGATAATTGGGCTAAAATGGCCTTTGGACTCGTCTTTTACAGCAGATTTTAAGGTAAGAACTTTTCAAAACGGTTTCCTATCTGCTTATTTTAATCTACTTTCAAAGTTGACCGCGGAAGGCCAAATATCTGCCTTTTTAACAGATTTTGTAAAGCTCTCGCGTCGCTAGTAATCATTTACCCAAAGATATTTTTACAGGAATCCGTAGACCATCCTTCTAACATTCAAGCACCAGCAGCTTAATCGATTTGAAGGTTTCGCACATGGTGAAAATTATGTTTTTCAGCCATCACTTTTATTGAAGTAAATTGTATGCCTTCGAAATTAAATTATTTTGTATACAAATAACAGAGCACTAATCTCCCCAAATAAATTTAACTGATATTTAGAAGCTGTAAAAGAAGGCTGTTATGTTTTAAAGACGGTAGAGTAATCGGTTTTTGCACGCGAGGCTTTCAAACCTATGTAATAATTGAGCGCCTCAAATGACGATTTTAACGGATTTTGCTTCTTTGCATTTATCGCTGAAATAGAAGGATATTTCACCGAAAGAACTATACAATGATTTTAGTTATACCCTAGCCTGTGTAAAATTAAAATATGAAAGAAATAGAATTTTCCATTCTTGCCGTGCAATTTTGAATTTGTCTGTTTTTTACAGACAGGCGCTCATAAATACAAAAGGACTTGCTTCCTGGGGATAGTCTTAAGACACATAGTAATGAAATTTTCATTACTCAAAAAAGAGGAATGAAACTGGAATGACATACCATGTAGCTTGAGAACTTCGCCGACTTCTCCTAGATACTTTAGTTCAAGAAAATGATTATATAGAAACACCTATCATCATAAAAAAGTTCGACTGGCTAAATAATTATGTTTAGGTCTTTAAAGTTTTAACTGACTTTGCTCTTGAGCCTCTAACTTTGTCTTTATGTAATGGTATTAATTTAAAATTTATTTATGTAGTAATTATTTATTTAAAAAAAGTTCAGTCCCTCACTTCTTCTGTCCCGCCTAGATTAGCTTTTGCTACCTGCGGGACAATGTAATTAATTATGTTATGTTATTTTTGTTGTTGGACCCTGGCTTCAAATATTCAGTGTCGGGGCTGGCGGATTTATCGCCGAATAAAAAATACGCTCCTGTGTGCTGGTTACTTGTATTAATAAAAATAAATGAATATGTAAATTAATCAACTGACTGAATACAATTCTTATGCACTCTTAGTGCATTCTTAGTACAGATTTTCATACCTTCATACTTGGTCTGAATTTTCCTTTCAGTTGCTTTTCCTTCAAAAACGTAATTTCTGGCAAACAACTTGACAGTGTAGTTTGTGCCTCTCCTTAAACTTCCAATATCTTGATGCTTGACCGACAAATCGGTTATATTCCTATTTTCTATCTTCGTGTTGCCCCGCAGTATTAACGCTCTGTATGCTGTTATAGGACTTCCTCCATCATTAGCTGGTTTTGTCCATCTAACTGTTATGGAAGTTGCTTCAATGTCCACTGTGACAGTAGGCGAGCCTGGTGCCTCTGAAGAAGAGCAAAATAGGTCCGGAAATTTTAAAATCAAACCCTCCCAACTCCATTTTGTGTCGCATCTGATCGTTGTATAGAAAGGCTACAAAACGGAAATACGAAGAAAAAGAATGATCAACACATGACGTAATCAACAAGATCAGAGTGGGTATGTCGCAATCTTTTTAAGATGTAGAGATAAAGAGCACTATGAACCAAATTAATTCCCCAAGAAGATTTTTTTAGAGACACGTCTTATCCTGTCATTATTAAAAAGACCGATCTCTAACGCAAAGAACTAAGAGGAAAATATATATATTTTTCCTTTGATTTGTAATTTTTAGCCTATGGTCTACCCCCTTAAGAAAAGAAGACAAAGGCAACTGCCAAACTATTGTAATTGAAGTATAATCTGATTAAGCCCCATTTTCTGTATTTATCTTAGTGGAACGAACATACCAAATCTTGAAATACTGGTTGTATGTATTTCTTCCATTTTCAAAGGTGGTTTTTATGGGTATGACCCTTTGCACCAAAATAGTCACATGGTTCAAAAACACATTGCTGGAGATTAAACGACGCACTGGGTTCTGGAGAGAAGGGAAATTAGCCTTTTTTTAATGCCCAAATCATGGTGTTTTTCTTAGCCCACTGCGTCTCATGCTCTCCAGCAAGGTGTTTTTGTCCCAAGTGACTATTTAGCTGCAAAGGGCACCTTTAAATGCACACTTTAAATGGACTGGAGATATATTCAACTGGTGCGCACACGAAAGAATGACAGAAGGAAGTGATAATTTTCCTAATTGTAGGTGTGTGTGTATCATAAAACACAATCGAAGAACAATAGATATTTAACTTACTTATCTGTTGCACTAGCAGTGTGCTTGTATCAGTATTAACATCATTAGTGGCCTCGCATGTGTAATTTCCAAAGTCCTGATCACTGCTCATTGCCACATCTACTGTGTTTGTCAATTCTAATAGTTGCTTTATAACTTTCCCACTCGGGTTTTTCCAAGACAAGGTCGGCGTCGGGACACCATCTGCCTTACACGTCAATTTCACTGTTTGTCCAATCCAAGCTTGGGAAATTACAGGAGTGACCGTCTCTACTGTAGCTGCGTCTTTAAAATATAATGATTCCAGCGATACTGAGAAGCTAACAAGGAAACGAGTATTGCTGAAATAAAATATATCGTTTTTCTAATGCAAATTTGAGAGCAGTGCTATGTGGATCGATATTGTGATTTTTTGCCTCATCTTATGGTTGTCCTTTCACATCTGTTCGTGGAATTTGGAAGGTTGTGCGCGCGTTAAGTAGAATGCTTTGGATACTTAACAGTTAATGAATGAGGCTGAGTATCTTATGAAGAATTATGGAGATCGAGGGGGGTGTTATCGCCGTAGGCAGAGGCGCATAACACCCTCCGAGATCTCCATAATTCTTCATATGATACGAGAGCCGAATTCAATAACTGTTTTATTATTCATTCAAAATAATTCCTAGTTTAATAACATAGCTAAAACATGCTTACCTCTATCGATCCATCGATGTTCAGTTCATCTTCGATAGTGTACGTTTAGGTTTGTCCAGCTCCGCAAATATTCTCCAAATAGCAGATGCCGCCCTTCGAGTAGTCTTGTTGCTGTTCTTGCCATGTTCTTAGCAGTTTTTTCGCCTAGTTCTTACTCTTGAAACGAGTGAAATGTCCGCCATTTTTGCAAGTTCACATCCAAAACAATTCAACCTTGTCCCCAGGTCTTCTCGGTTAACGGTGCCTTAACCTGCGAAAACGCTGCATTTTTGACGTCATTTCCTCGTTTAAGTCAAAATTCTTCCAAATTTGGTCATCAGTAACTGGTTATGGTGAATTAAACGTGTACTTTTAGCCAATCAGAATCGGGAATATATTTTGAATGAATAATAATTATTTTTAATGCTTTCATTCTCAAATCAAGGGAGGCAAAAATTGTAAGAACCTTCAGTGTAATGTAACTCTTCATGGTGTGCCTTACTGCTCTCTACCGAGCAACGCGTAAAGGCGTTTAAAGAACTGGCAAAAATAGTCAGTTACTAAGTATTCTCAAAAATGAGTCTTGAAATAAATCAAAGAAGAAAAAATAAATACCTCTTATTAGCCGAGTTTTCGGTCCGTACTGTAAATTACGGACCGAGTTTTTTTCCATCGATTTATGGCCCAAGCGCGAAGCGCGCGGGCCATAAATCGATGGAAAAAAACGAGGATTCTTCCTGTTTGGGGGACCGGAAGCAAGTGAAGGACGCACAGTTTAACAGTCATTTGACAGGTGTCAAAAAAGAAAGTTTTTTTGGCGCACGAAAGCAATAGCATATAACAAAGGCTTTCCGAGAAAGTAAAAACAAATTCGCCATGTTGAAAAAGTTTATTCAGTCAGAAATAAGAGCACTGTAAGTTTTAGCTCTTTAATGTAACGCTGGAGTATTTTGGAAACCCGACACTGTGTCTGTCTAAAAGTCGTTTCCATGTTTCCTCCGTTTGTCCTTGTAAAAAATAACACTGCAAAAGGCAAAGAAGCTTTTCAAGGTAAGTTTATTGTCATTGTCGAAGGATTCGCTCGTAAATTGTTTTTGGGACAACCTCTGTTTCTGCCAGTTCATTCTCGTCTTCAATGGTGATCTGTGTTAAAATTGTCAAACACTGACTGGGATTCTCTTCCTCGGTAAGGTTACGATTCAGTTTCTACATCAGCTTCGATCTCATTAAAACAAAGCTAGGTTAAAATTTGGAAAGGCAAAGTCAACATCCCAGTCCTCTGGATTTACAGACATAATTTAAAGTTTATTCGGTCAAAACTAAGAGCACTGTAAGTATTCACTCGTTAATGTGACGCTGGAGTCTTTTGAAAACTGGACATTGTGTCTGGTTCGAACTTGCTTCTATCTTTCTTTCGTTGGTCTTTAAAAAAAACACTGCAAATGGCAAAGAAGCTTGTCAAGATGATCGGGTGCACGTATGTTTATAATATTTGTCGAACAAATTACTCATTTCAGTTCTCTTGGACAAAACATCTCGAATCTCTGCCAGTCGATTTTCGTCTTCTTAACGGTGTGCTCCGATAAATTTTCAAACACTGACTAGAGTCCTCTTCGATACGTTTACGAGTTAGTTTCTTCATCGCCTTCGTTCACAAACAAACACAGTTTAAAATGTTGAAGACCAAAGTCAACATCCAAGTCCTAAATGTTGACAGGCGTCTTATAACTTTATTTAAACCTTTTTTTTGAGGTAAAGAGATTGAGAGCTCCGAAATGAGCATTTTCTTTAAAAATTTTGGTCCGTATAGCAAGTTACAGACCGCAAATTGACCAATCGCATGGCGAAAACAGGCTCAGCCATATAATAAGTAATTATAATTTATTACATAGCGCGCGTGCTTTCCCTTACTGTATCCTTTTGAAATCAAGTTAATTATACAGTAAGAGCGAAAATCATACACTTTTGCTAAAGCCGAACAATCCGCCTGAGGTGGGATATTCCTCTTGCTGTAAATAGACAAATAGTTAAACAGGCCTTACAAATTTCAATTGACCTTCATCATAACGGAAAAACTAGCTTTTACTCTAATCTCATGAAAATGGTTGACTACTATGATCTAAACTATGACTTTTCCTGTAATTCATTGAGTGACTCAGTTGTTAATAGGTATATCGGCATAATGAATAATAAATACGTCTCTTACTGGAATCAGACCCTTCAACAATCACAAAAACTCAGTTTTTATTGTACAATCAAAGACGACTATAGCCCCTCGCCGTACCTAGTTTTAACAAGAAAAAACCCTTCGAGAAAAGCATTAATTATATTTAGAATGAGTAGTCATCAACTTAGAATTGAAACAGGTAGTTTCGAAAACATTCCTCGCAATGAAAGGATATGTCACTTTTGTACAAGTAACAAAATCGAAGATAAAAATCATTTCTTACTAGATTGTAAGGCTTATTCTCAGATCAGAGACATATTTTTCTCCAAACTAGAAACTAAAATACCTGACTTCAAATCACTTTCACACGATACTTTAATATCTCTTCTTATGAATTCTTCTGATTATTTAATTAACTGCCAATTAGTTTCATTTATCTCGCAATGCTTTGAATTAAGAACCAAATTAATATCAATGAATGAATGAATGAGAACTGTAACGTTTTGTAATGTTTTGCACGTACTAATTAGTTGAATTAGTACTTAAATTTAGACTAATAGCTTTTGCAATACTGTCATTCCTTTATGGTCATGGAAAAAAAGCTTTTGTTGTTGTTGTTGTTGTTGTTATAACACAAAAAGACATATTTATAACTTACTAATACAACTTCTCTAATTCACTAAAGAGGCTTAAATGACCAGTACATGTAAGACTTCTCCGATTGTTAGCGAACGAATATAACGTCAGATGTCAGTCTTGTGTATCTTGTAGCCGAACAAAACACAGACATCACTTCACGAATCCAAACCATACTCGCTGCCTTCTTATGAGCACTTGACTATTTTAACTTTAGGTGGACTTAAGACTCTTACACCTATGTTACGTTTCTGCCTAGTTTCTATGATCTTTAACGAATAAAGAAGCAAATTTTCACTGTCAGTTTGAGGAAATGAACTTTCTTTCAAACTAGTCGATTGTCGATTGGTGTTTGCAACCAACCAATGGAAGGCTTTTTTTTTTTTTTTGGTGCCGAACGTTACGGGAGTTTTGCAGTTAATCAGGAGCAAACAATTTCGTTAGGAATGTTTTAACAGAATTGTCTCATGCTATCGTAATTAGCTGTGCGTATAACGAATTATTGATGCTCTTTGCTTCTCTTGTGCTCTCCAAACTTCCCGAGTGCATCCATATCTTGATTTGCGCACGCTAAGCATGAAACAATTCTTTAAAATATCACAGCCGTTTTATTCGTTATCTCAGCGCGTACAATAACATACATGTAATTGATAGGTTGAACTGTTTTTTACTGCTGACATCATAATCTTTTTCACACATGCATATTTTATGAATTATTTAATCTCACTCACATTGTACAGTAATGAACACATCATGGACTTTAATGGCAATACCATTATCAGCACTGCATCTGTAATCTCCCTCATCGTGTCTGCCGACGACCATAGGAAAGGTGACATGACTGTTACTAGAGAGTCTTGTCCATGTGATGTTTGGAGGTGGATTGCCATCAGCTGTACAGTTAAGCATCAACATATCACCCTCATTTACTGTCTGATTATGAGATATGTGTGTGATAGTTGGCGGACCTAACAAGTCAGTAAAAGGATAGTAAGTGTGATTGGAAACAAGAGAGCTCATTCTCTCCTGTTGGCAAGGATGTTTTGGCTAACATCCTTCAGATTTGTTTGAACTCTACAAGTGCATTGAACAGTTGTAGCGAAAAAACGATCTCAACAATTTTATTAGATATTGATGAACGTTTGTTACGACACGTGTACATATTCGTCAGCAAAATTGTGGTAAAAATTTCTTACCCCGGGACTTGAACCTCTCATTGTGTTTTAGATCAGATGTTTGTGAACTTCGTGATCTAGTTAAAATTTGGCAATAAGAATTCATATGAATAATTAAGGCAATCAGATTCCGTAGAAAAAAAGCACTTTAAAATAGTACTATGCAATTGAATTGAAGAGAAGTTTCTTTTCATTTACAAACTGAAAAGTTGATGGGCTTTGGTTCAACTACACACTAAAAAAAATACGGAGAACAGGACAGAGTTAAGGCACCCTTGTTGGCCTCTTTACAGACAGTTTGTGAATACCGTTGTCTTTCTGAACATTCTAGTTGCTATGAATTTTTCGGACATTTCACTCTTGACCAAGTCGCTAACTTTTGATTTTAATTGTCAGATCTTTCCGGCCTGATATTCAGAAATACGACTGTAATTACACAGGATCACATCACAAGCAGCCCAGCCCTATGTGTAAGTTGTTAGCAGTCAATTTTTTATAGCGAGGTTCCCGCGCGCGCGAAGCGCGCGTGGGACAGAGCCCCATACCCATGGAATATGGTCAACCTCTTTTCGTTTGGTTGTCACGTGATTGACCGAGCGTAAGTACGTACGTACGCGTCTACAGATTGTATGGGTGGAGTGGGGGAGACTATCAAAAGGAAGGGAGGGGTGTCTCAGGCGTGTCTTGGCAAGTCCACATCTTTAATATAGGACATTAACAATATGGTCAATTGACAGCTGTCCAAACAGGATAGCCACTGACCAGTATCCCATGACCATATCGCGGGCTCATGTGTCAACTCATCGAGGTGACGTGATTTATTTGGAAGCTGTCCGCTGACCAGTTAACTGTTTTACTAGATCGCGAACAACGTTCAATCTCATACTTTTACTAGTTTGGGAGCACAGGAAAACTGATAATGCACACATATTGGACATCAATGTTTTGATCAATTGACAGCTGTCAAAACAGAGTACCCGCTGACCAGTATCACTCGACCGTATCGCGGGCTCAGGTGTCGACCCGTCGAGGTCAAGTATTTTTTGAAGTTATCCGCTGACAAGTAAACTAGTTTTCAATTGATCGCAGGCTCAAGTTCAATTTTTTTTCTTAATTCATATGAAATATGTTGTGTTTATGTGCTGCACAATTAAAATTTTGATTGCAAACTGACCTCGGACGTGAAAATTCAGCCAGCTGTTACAGGCAGCGAAGACAGTTGCTTTTGTTTTTTCTCACAATGGTCACGCGTTGGTCACGCTCTACGTCCAATTTTTATGCTCTGATTGGTCAAAATTTGACAGGTGAGTTCATGCGCAAAATTTATGGAGCATCTTGAATCTTGTTCACTTTAACAGCTGAAGCTGACAGAGTTTTGTGTCAACTTGTGATGTTTTTAACTGTCTTTTTCCACTGGATGTACAAAATGAAATTCAGCTGCTATCAGGAGTCTTCTGTCACTCATGGCTAGTTTGTTTATTGAGTTTTTGGTTGAGAAAACGTCGCTTGTCAAAGTCGGAAATCCGATTTCGGATGGCATCGTTTTCGTTTTCACCTTGCTTGATGCGTAAGAGGATTGCAAAGTCTGAAGCGATACTGGCTTTACCTGATAACTTTCAGGAGCTGCATCTCGAATGGTAAGCCAGAGAAATTATTGTATTTCATGTTTGTTTTTTGTATCTAATTTAATGAAGTGGAGCGTAGTTTATGCGGGAATTTAGTTTATGCGCGTTTGTAAGATTTGAGACAACGATCTCACCGAGTATCTGGTTTGATATAATCTTACAGAACTTTAAAAAGCCTTTAGACAGTTTCTCACCGCAAATAGAAAGAAAATGTTCCAAAGCATCTTTAGTTATAATTCTAGCCGGAAAAGAAAGCTTTGAGCGATTTTCTTGCCTCGAGTTCGTCTTTGAAAAAACAAACACCTGGAAGCTGGCTTAAAACATAAACTTCAGCAAACTTAAGCTTGAAGCTTGAAGATTCAGGATATTAGGGACACTTTAATACTTGTCTTCCTGAATGAAAATTGTTGTCTCTGTTTATGTTTCACCGAATTATATTTCTTTTATTGATTGTTAGTAGTCTCTCTTGCAATTTTAATCGCTATGCCGATTGTTTTCAGTCGTTCAGTGAACATCGCTTGCAGGAGTTCTCAAAATGCCGCGCGTTAAACCATCAAATAAAAAATAAACATGATAAATTCTTTATTATCTTGGCGGGTAACTCTGTTAATGTTCATTCAAACACTCGCTACAGCTCGCACTACAAAAGTGAGAACCGGATGGCCGTATAGGTGATTTTGGAAATTTTTTTTAACAGTTTATGAATATTGAATGAGAGCAATTTGTATTGTGAAATACTGCTTTCTGTCCATGGTATAAAAGGTTGGTTTACACGCACCCAGATTTGTTGGCAAGATTTTGCAAAGTAAACTTGTCGAACGCCAAAACGTTGGCCTGGTTTTTTTTCTAAGCCTAATTGATCTACGGTGATCAATAGCCATTACGACTCTTAAATGTGATAAAAGATGATTACCAGTTTTTGAGTGTACATATGAGGCTATCAACTCGATGTAAGATTTGGTTCACTCTTGGGCTGTTTGCAAATTATTTTTCTCTAAAATCAGGTAGCCTTTCCCTCAAAAGTCACATAAATGTGCTCTAAAGTTAACTGAATTGTGGAATTCGAATACAAGTTTATTGTTTAATTTAAATTATAAATTTACTAATGGGAGCCTCGCTTTTAGCCCTGGCTAAATAACAATTATTCACCGAAGTGGAGGTGGCTAGTATTGGATATTTACCGATGCCGCGAAAGTGGCGAGGTAAATATCCAATACTAGCCACCGACACTGAGGTGAATAATTGTTTTAGTATATGCTAAAACAGTGAGATAATAAGCCTAAAATGATCTCAAATGACGATTTTTAATTCGTTTATTTACAACTTTGGCGCGCAAATTAAACAAACATGCGCGCAGCTCAAAGTAGTCACATGACACATCTGATGATGAAATGTTCATAATTTTGTGTTTAAGACTTTACAACCGTAAATGAAAGATCAAGCTATGCGAAAGGAAAAGTCCTGGCTTTACGCCATCTTTGTAGATTGTTCTTTTCGTTGTCTGTTACAAGTTTAATTTGCTGCTGCTTTCTCCAAAGCTCACCTTAAAGTTGAGATTACAGTTATGGAACCTGGCTCCGGGAATGAAGCCATGGACAAGATTCTGTGATCCATCTTGAATGGACTGGAAGGAATAATTTGCAGTGCTCGTAGCTACTGATCGCGGCTGGTTCGATGACGACGCAACGCTTTTCTGAGGGACTGTAACAGCCTTGTCATCGCCACCAGCTGGATCGAAGAATTCACTTAGCTCGTTTGACATTCTTTTAAACTGCTCGAATGTCGGCGTATCACAATAGCTCTTGATGCTTTCTTCACTTTGGTGGCCGGTTATTGCCCTGATGTACCGACTCTCGATGTTTGCAGCTGACAAAACCGTCACGGTGGTCGCTCTGATCGAGTGGTTTGTTAGATGTGGCTTTATTCCAGCTCTTGATGTCATTCTTCGTAGCATATTTTCAAGCGTGTTGTGGCCAAGTGGACTCGAGCAGTACCACACAAGATCCGTTGCTGGGTTAAACGCTTTGTACGAGCTTCTTGGTTTCTGGAATAAACTGCTGCATTTGGGACTCAGATGTGACAGGTATTTCTCGATGAGTTTCACTGGGCAGCGTTTTGAGCCTGGTCTTTCAAATATTTTTCCGTTTGACTCATCTTCTTTATCATCTAGGCCACCTTGATGGTTTTTAGTCGCCAACACTGCTCCGCGCTCTTTGTTTATTTCCAGATATTTTTCACCATTTGGCGCTTCCCTTGAGATAAGCATGTGTTTCTTAAGCAGGTGCTGGTTTTCTCGACCTCTCTTTCCGAGGAATAAACTGATGAAGAACCAGGCCGTCTGCTGTACTTTGTGTGGTTGGAGAGAATCGATGTCAACAAGCTCGCCTTCTTCGTAAAGTTTCTCAACAATTTCCTTTGTTAGGGCTGGTTTGTGCACTGTCGGAGCTATTTGGCCACTTTTGCTCAGAGTTTTCAGAAAATTGCTGAGGGATTTATTGGCTTCATTAAAATGACTGTCGTCGAAAATGGAAAATGGCTTTGAAAACGGAGGACCTTTTAAGTGACGATCTAACGCGGCTCGGATTGCGATAAGCGACTTTTTGTTGTAGTAACTGCCGTCACGTTTTCGTGCGGACAAGTAAAATTTTTGGAGGCATTTGTTAAGCTGAATTGGTGACATCTCCTCAAAGGGAGTTTTGAACTCTTCTTGCATCTGAAACCATTCTGTAAAAAAAGTAAGCTTATTTATAAACATGTCAGCTAACATTAAGTAACAAAAGACATAATTTGCATTTCTAAACAAAAAACTTTTTCACCGGTTTCATCGATAAAATTCAGGTTAAACAGACAAAGCTTTACCTGTGAAAACTGCTAGACCGAATTTAGTCGCTTTTTTAGTGTTGTCTGGTATGGCCTCTTCATTTATTTTCGAAATTTCGTCGCTAGTTACCGTGGCAAACCGAGACTGAGCCATTTTTGTCGTACATGTAACTTGCAAGAGTTTGGCGCCGGTCGGCTGGAGGCGAATCAGTGAATAGTGCAGGATATTCCGAGATTGAGCAGCCAATCAGAGCGCGCGAAAAACACTATCCACTGTTTTAGCATATACTAAATCTATATATTACGATAATGCATGGGAATGAACGATACATATCCCATTTCTCCGTTTAAGAGGATTCGATTCGTGAAAAAAAACAAACAAACAAACAAACAAACAAAT